TTCCTTCCTTCCTTCCTTCCTTCCTTCCTTCCTTCCTTCCTTCCTTCCTTCCGCATTGGCTTTTCCCTCTGTTGCTTTTCGAAACCCACGTTGGAACAGAAAGTCCCCTCTGTGTTGCATGCCGCATTCACTTCCTTTGATCATTGGATTTTATGGTACCTTCTGCATAGATTTATGGCCATTCAGGGGTAACTTTGCAGTCAGTACGGCCGTGGCCCGGGGTATCTGAATGGGGTTTTGAGCTGCACCTTTCCCTCCGTGTTGAGAAAATGTGGAGCAAATGCCAGACGCAGAACCAGCCAGTGCCTCTCTGACCCTGATCTCCACTTCAGACGTGCACTCCCTGAACAAACTTTAACAACTGGTATGGGTAGGGAATGTTTCCCATTCAGTCCTTTTGGGGTTCGCTAAGCTGGCTTCAAAACGTTCAGCCATCTGTTTTTTCTTTGTCAGAATGAAGCCAGAAGGAGAGGTGGAGCGGCCCCCCTTGGTTCCCATTAAAGGGGTTCCCATGATCAAGTACTTTGCTGAGGTCTGGAGTGAGGTGGAACCCTTTGAACCGCATCCAGATGATTTGCTCATCTCCACATATCCCAAGTCTGGTGAGTGAGGTCTGGAAGCTGCGTTCATCTGGGGGCTGTTTCACTGGAATGCACTGCCACAGGAAGTGGTGGCGGCTACAAGCATGGACGGCTTCAAAAGGGAATTGGATAAGCATATGGAGCAGAGATCCATCAGTGCTATTAGCCACAAGGTATAGATAGGGGCTCTGGGGCAAGTGATGCTCTGTCTTCTTGGTGCTTGGGGGGGGGGGTGTCAACAGTGGGAGGGCTTCTAATGTCCTGGCCACACTGGTGGACCTCCTGATGGCACCTGGTATTTTTGGCCACTGTGTGACAGAGTGTTGGACTGGATGGGCCTTTGGCCTGATCCAACATTGGCGTCTCTTATGTCCTTATGTTCTCACTCTCCACATCTTCAAGCAGTCAGAAGCTCCAGGACAGCTTAACAATTTGCCACAGGAGGAGGAGAAGACGGAGGATGCTTCAGGCTTTCCTCACGGCCTGTTCTTCTGCTCAAAAACCAAGCCCTCCTAAGCTGATTCCTTCCCATAGTGTTGCACAAACTCCATGTAATTCGGCTGTGTGTGAGATTCTGAGTGGGGAAAGTACCAATGAGGAAAGAGTTAAGCATCCATTCAAAACTGCCACATCAGGATAGTCCTCAAAGTATCTTCTCCTCCATCATCTACTTCAGATGCATCGGAGAGTCAGAGAGAGTCATAAGGAAGTTTAAATTAATAATAATTTAAAGGAGTATTTAGAAACAGATTTTTTTTGGTTGTTGCTGTTTACAGGGCTAACTGTTAGTCCTTATTAAAATGTCATCAGAATTATTGTTTATTTTTAAAACAATAACAGTTAACCATGTAACTAGAAACTGCTGAACAATCTATTTCTATATCTTTTCTTTCACAGAGGACAGCAATGATTTGGAATATTTTTTTTGGTTGTTGCTGTTTACAGGGTTAACTGTTAGTCCTTATTAAAATATCATCAGAATTATTGTTTATTTTTAAAAATAATAACAGTTAACCCTGTAACCAGAAACTGCTGAACAATCTATTTCTATATACTCCTTTTCTTTCACAGAGGACAACAATGCTTTGGAATCTCTCCTTCCCCATATTTTCCCCTACAGTCCCAGGGACTGAGCAGGCCAATTTAAGTGCCTCTCAACTGCTTTCAGCATTTTGTGTGTCCTAATGCATACTCAGTCTTCATCAGGCCATTTGGACTTGTTTTGTTTTTTTTCCTTTGGTTAATTTGTATACTTGTCTGCATACCTCAAAACTCCTGCCTGGTCTGCAGGTCACTTGGTTTTGTGGCTTCAAAGATTAGCACAGGCCACATATTTAACTATTAAGTATAATAATGGCAATGTTTTCCTTCTTGACCCACATTTTAAACATTCTGGGCCATTCCAGTAAGGCTTATGCAAACAGGCAGTTCAAAAGATGGGTAAATATTCTTCTTTAAAGAATAGACTGTAGGATGACTCCCTCTGAGATTCTGAGTCAAAATGCATGGTGGGAAAGAAATTGAAGGGCCTATTTGTGAGAACCTCAGATTAAGTTTCCCTCTCGGATCACCATTTTGATTCAAAGTGCCTGAGCCTGTTGAGCTTTTTTCCACTACAGAGCCAGTTTGGTGTAGTGGTTAAGTGTGTGGACTCTAATCTGGGAGAACCGGGTTTGATTCCCCACTCCTCCACTTGCACCTGGCTGGATGACCTTGGGCAAGCCGTAGTTCTGACAAGCACTGTCCTTGAAAAAGAGCAGTTTCTGTCAAGAGCTCTCTCAGCCCCACCTACCTCACAGGGTGTCTGTTGTGGGGAGTTTGTAAGCCGCTCTGAGACACCTTTGGGTAGTGAAGGGCAGGGTATAAATCCAATCTCTTCTCTTCTTCTTTTTCCAGGAACCACCTGGATCAGCGAGGTTATAGACATGATCCTTAAAGAGGGTGATATGGAGAAATGCAGACAGAATCCCATCTATGCTCGAGTCCCTTTTTTAGAGTTTAGCGCCCCAGGAGTCCCCTCAGGTAAGACACCTGCCCCCTTGCTCTCCAGTCCAGATAATGAGGAGAGCACATTAGCTCTGTGAGATGGAGGAATCGTTGATATTTGCTCTAGGGGTTCTGTGGGGATAGGGAAGGAAGGGAAGAGGGCGGGAGAACCCCTTCAGCGCTCCTGTTTCCCCTCCAGGTATTGAACTACTGAAAAAATCATCTCCCCCACGAATGATTAAAACCCACCTTCCCGTCCAATTGCTCCCTGAAGGTTTCTGGAACAAGGACTGCAAGGTAAATTCAAACACTACCTGAATGTCTCAAAAGTGGGAACAGATAACAAAGAATTTCACCCTTGTAGCCTGTGCAGAAACTGGTATTCTTTCAGCATCATTACAAAAAAAATGGTTTTAAGTCCATCTGGCTGTGAAAACAAGCTTGAAAGTGTATGGATAATGCTTAGTGAAATCTCAAAAAGCCAGAAAGGGCTGACCAGGTCATTCAGGGGATCAGGTTTCAGGGCCTTTTTCACACCTTGGCATAATCAGCAGAATTGGAATAAATGACGCAGGGCTGCTTAACTTACATAACCTTCTGCACACTTACAGATGATTTACGTGGCCAGAAACGCCAAAGATGTGGCCGTCTCATATTATTACTTCTACCAAATGGCAAAAGTGCACCCCGATCCTGGAACCTGGAACGAATTCCTGCAGTCGTTTATGGCTGGAGATGGTAA